ATAATAAATTGATAAAATAAAATAACACAATAATATTCTCACGACGTTTCGGCCACAACACAAGCGGCCTTCATCAGGTGAAGGGGGCGAGACTGTCTGGTAGGACAGCGCTGGAGTGAAAGAGCCACGTTCAGATACGGCCTTTAAGCTGTGTGAGAGGAACAAAGCGCCCTCAAATTTCAGTAATTCTTTAAATCAAATTCTTTAAATCAAAATGTAATGTGTAAATCAAAATGTAATGTGTATTATTTAATAATACGCTTCCAGGCCGCACTAAGCCGGTAGCTGTCAGAGCGATTAAAGTTATTCTTGTTCCTCTCAATTTCAATGGATTCTCTAATTAGTCTTTGCCAGTAATAATTAGTTTTACACACCACTGCAACATTGTCAAAATCAATTGAGTGTCCTTGTTGACAAGCATGTTCTGCCACTGCCGACAGTTGTGTTTAAGATAATTTAATATTTCTCTGATGTTCTTTTAGTCTTACGTTGATGTTACGTCCCGTCTGCCCAATGTAGCAGCTGCCACATGAACAATTAATCCGATATACACCTTCTGTTGATAGTTTAGGTAATGCGTCTTTAGTGCAAGATACTAGTTTTTGAATTTTGTGTACTGTACCAAATCTTACTGTAATGTTTTGCTTTTGCAAAACACGGGCTAATTTGTCAGTTACTCCTGAGATATATGGAATTTTTATTGTTTTAGCAATCTGGTCGCTTTCAGCAGTGTGTTATTCACCTCCATTTCCATGGTGAACTGGATGGTCGGGTTTTGTGCATAACACACTCCCATTCCTAGATATTTTGCTTGGACATGGCCTAAACGGTAAAATAACACACAGCGTTTACAGAAAGCAAACGCACACTGATGCCTATCTGAATGCAGAATCACATCATCATCCAGCTCAGAAATCCTCTCTTATCAAGACGCTCATACATCGGGCTAAAACAGTGTCAGATGGTGAGAGTCTAGTGAGAGAGATTAAACACGTTAAAGACGCACTACGACAGAATGGCTACAATAATGCTCAAATTAACAGAGCACTGAATGCCAAATCACGATCGCAAAGCAATACTGCTGAAAGCGACCAGATTGTTAAAACAATAAAAATTCCATATATCTCAGGTGTAACTGACAAATTAGCCTGTGTTTTGCAAAAGCAAAACATTACAGTAAGATTTGGTACAGTACACAAAATTCAAAAACTAGTATCTTGCACTAAAGACGCATTACCTAAACTATCAACAGAAGGTGTATATCGGATTAATTGTTCATGTGGCAGCTGCTACATTGGGCAGACGGGACGTAACATCAGCGTAAGACTAAAAGAACATCAGAGAAATATTAAATTATCTCAAACACAACTGTCGGCAGTGGCAGAACATGCTTGTCAACAAGGACACTCAATTGATTTTGACAATGTTGCAGTGGTGTGTAAAACTAATTATTACTGGCAAAGACTAATTAGAGAATCCATTGAAATTGAGAGGAACAAGAATAACTTTAATCGCTCTGACAGCTACCGGCTTAGTGCGGCCTGGAAGCGTATTATTAAATAATACACATTACATTTTGATTTAAAGAATTACTAATCTACAACTCATTACTAATCATAACCAATGACTGATTACTAATCGATTATATAATTACAATACCCCCCCCCCCTCCGCCTCTAATCACTGCACCTGATATGAGTTAAGTGATGACGTCACCCTGCTGCTCTATATAAAACCGGGAGCAAGCGAGGGCTTTACCATTCTGGCGAATTGCCCGATGATGCTGGATGTATTTACCAGCGAAACGTCGTACTCAAACTGTAAATGTGGATTCACTCTTCAACACACCGGTGGGCTAAAGTAGTGAATTATTTGTCTTTTGTCAACGTGACACTTTTTTGCTGATTGGCCGTGTCGGGTGATGGAGGGTTACGACACATTTATAAATAAACGCGATCTAACCCAAAAACCTTTATTATGAAATCCAAAATTATCATAGCCAACGCACCAGTATCAACCAACACACGGAATTCCACATCCTCGATCGATCCGACAACCACGGATGAACCTGCCGTCGCCGCGACTACCCTATGGGCCAACTCAGACCACTGCGCAGGTCCAAGTGGCCGCGAAGAATCGCCGGAACACCCCGCATCACACGCCGAATCGCGAGCATTTCTTATGGTGCGTTGCGGTGTGTATGGTGTGAATGAGGGCCAAGCGTGAGAGGCGTCACGACTTGCCTGATTGTGCCGTGATGCCGTGGGCGTCCTGTAGTCCTGGCCTCGGGATCCGGAGGAGCGTCGTCGAGGCGCACAGCACTCGGAGGAGATGTGGCCTCGTCGGCCACAGTTGAAACACGTCACGTCGCTGCGTGGAGGAGGCCGTCCCCACTGCTGGTCGTCGCGGCGACCAGCGTGGTCGGATAATCGCCGGCCCGTTGACCTGGTCGCCATGAAGGCCCAGTCGGGGAAGAATTCGGTGTCCCTGCTGGCAGGCTCCGATGTCGAAGCTGAGGCGGCGATGGTCGAATCCGTGTGGAGCAGTAGATGCGCGTGGATGCTCCGAGCGGCTCGTAGCGAGCACATGCTCTCCTCGTCCACCGCTTGAATGACGTTGCGCAGCTCGCGCGCCAGTTCCAGCATCTTCTGGAGGATGATAGCATCGATGGCTTCGTCGTCCATGCGGGGGTAACCCGCTGTTGCCAACGCGAGTAGAGTGGTCCGGAACGCTATCGGAGACTCATTAGGGTGGCATCGCCTATCATAAAACCGGCTACGGACGTCGAACGGAGGCCAGTAGACATCGGACATCCGTCGGAGGATCGATTTTAGAGTCGCCCTTTGTTGCCTGGGGATGGTGAGGAGCGAGGTGAGGAGCGAGGCGAGAGCGTCGTCGTCCAGGGTGGCCGGTAGCGCTCGAAGCACCTGTGTGTCCGACCAGCCCAACATTTATTGGTGGCTCAGGAAGCGATGCTGGAATGCCGCCCAGTCGTCCCCTGTAGACACAAATTCACAAAAGATGGGCAGGCACTGTTGGAGGCCGGACGTCGTTTCCTCCTCAGCCTGCACAGTCTCGAACCAGAGATTGGTGATTGCCTGGCCGATAGCGTCTACTGTACTCTGTCGGTACAGTGATGATGCGGCGTCGGCTGAGTAGCGTGAGTTTACAGCGTCGCGCGCTGATGACGCTGCGGGTTGTGATTGGACCCCAGCATTCCCAGAATGCCCTTGGCTTCCACTTCGGGCGGGACCACGTGGTTCCCCGGCGGGAAAATCAAAATGTCCGTATTGGCCGATGGCGAGAACATCCGCCGGCGGCTGATTCGATCCGCCCGCGACGTCCGAGTTGATCTCGTCAAGAATGGAGGCCGCAGCATGTAGAAGTTGGGCAAGACGGCTGTGTGCTGACTGGAGTCCGTCCCCCATGGCAGGAGGAGCAACCGGCTGCTGAGCCGGTGGTTGGGCGGCTGGCAACGCTCCGGCATTCTCAGCGGATTTGGCGGTTCCCGCAGGTGAGTCAGGGTTTCCTTCATGCTGACGTCACACGTGGGCCGAACTTCTCGTTTCCATTTCCAAACACTTCTGACTCCAGTTGTAGTGTTTATAAAGACGAATAAACTTCTTCTGAGGCACACTCTGTTTATTGTAATTATTTTCTTACACAGTCCTTAACACACGGAGGGGTATACGGTCCCCTCACCCAATACCCTAAGGAGGTACAGCCTCCAGACTTTAGCGTGACCTACACACAGGTCTCTTTGATACCTAAGGAGGTACAGCCTCCTATCTTGGCGGGACTTACACGTCTACCACTATCCTAGCCTAAGGAGGTACAGTCTCCTATCTTGGCGGGACTTACACGTCTACCGCTATCTGAGAGTCCTCCGGCTGTGATCTAGGGGAGGCTATCTGACCCACCGCTGGCCCGGTGGGTCTTGACCACTGGATATGCCGAGCCTTAGCCTTCAGAAGGGCTGGAAGGCTGGGTCCAGGGTCCTAGCTATCTTCAGCCCGGGCTTCGGTCTTCGTGTAGGGAGAGAACTCCCCGTGCTCTGTGCGGTCACCCTTCTTATACCCGTTTGTGGTCAGGTGTAACCAATCCCACATTCCCACGTGGAACTGTCTGATTGGTTCTTACCAAACCGTGGCTACGATCCACTTCACCTCGTCTGACCCCAACCGTTATGTACCCAGAGGTAACGCTACACTGCCCCTTTGATGCCTAGTGGCAATGCAGGTTACCGAACAGTGCGTAGTTAACACCTCTACATGTACATCATCCATTATCGTCGTGTCACTGCGGAAGTCTTACACCAAAAAGTGCGTCTACGCTGTATCCAGGGGTTGACCCCCAACAAGCAGCAGAAGGGGCGTGCTGCAGCACAGGGCGGATTGCTGTGAGGCTGGTGGGAGGCGATGGAGGGGACTGGGGCGCAGTGCAGCGCGAGCCAACTCGGTCATCGAGCTGCCTGCAGCGCGACTCCCTGATACATGACCGTGACTCATCATCAGTTGTTGCCACATGCTCCTTGCGTAGCACTCTCACAGGCGAACAAATGGAAATAGTTTTGTAAGAGATCAGTTTTCCCTTACATTTTGATATAAAATGTATTGTTCTTCATAGTTTTTCAGAGGAAAAACACACAATTGTAGTTTCCACGTGCAGCATTGGCACGTGTGTGCCAGTCCACTCCATTGTTGATCGTTCATTTTTGTTCGGCAGCTCACGGTGACCCTGATCATTCCACCCACTCGGACAGCGAGTGTCGGCGGACCTCCCAGCGTTGCGGTCAGCGGTGACTGGCGCTGCACAAAGTTCGAAACTCTTTACAGACATTTAACCAGTTCAGAGAAAATGTGAGACAGAACGATTTAATAGCCCTTACAATGCTTTAATAGTGCACACTCGTGATAACCTACAGTAGGTCATGAGAGTTGCACGTTGATAAATGCACTTATGCGCATCAGTGAATGACCTTGCCTCGTTTGTTTTTGAAGCTGCCTCTCTCCACGAGGCTGTCTACGCACGGGGACCTCCACGAAGCCAACCTGCACGTGCAGTACCCGCTAAGGGGCGGCAGCTCTCCAGGTGTGCGCACCGCTCTCCCTGACGTCTCTGACATCGGCCACCGGGTCTCCCGCCAGGCGACGCACGCGCCAGGCGAGGCGCTCCCAGGCCGGACTGCTCACCTCGGTGCACGCATGGCAGAGCTCCGGCTTTCCCATGCTGGGCCAGTGAGGGTGATTGTTGGGCTGTGCTAGTGTTAGGACTGTCTTTTCAGCAAGGTCCTGTTTAGAAACGAGTGCAACAAAGAAAACCCACTCATACAAGAGGGTAGCACGCTCTATCTCTACACAGATGGATTCAAGAATCAATTGAGTCATTGCTGTAACAGCAATCTCCCAGTCACATTAGGGCCCAAGCTAACAATACTTGGTATTCACAGGCAGTTTGCTATCCGAGTACTAACCAGGCCCGAACGCACTTGACGTCTGACATCTACGAGACCGAGTACATTCACGATGCTTGGGCATGACGACGATCGTACAGCTTCAGGTTGGGGTCGTTTTCAGCAGAGAAGAGCCTCTTTTGAATTATATCTGAGGATCATGAATCTTCAAGATCATGGATATTGTCAAGCTGCTTGGAAGGCTGCTACCAGCCTTGTCAGAAGCAATGAAAGACAACGAGCATGCACTACTGAGCTCTGAGGTTCAAATACTCGGACTGGGTGTCTCTCTCAGGAAGTTCATAACCTCATAAGTTTGACGAGTTACTTAATTTCCAGTTTTTATCACAAACCAGAGTACCCAGAGGCAGAGTAACCAACTGCAGATCGGGAGTCTCAAGCAGGTGATGGTCTCCGAATGATACACCGATACCCACACCAACAAGTGCTGCATTACAGCTGTGGGGGGAAAAGAAAGAGCAGAGCGACCAATGGGAATGTCCATGCAGCCCGTACAGGTATCACGGCACAGTAGAGACTTGTAATGCCAGAGTATTTGGACTCCATAGTTCAAACGTGGGCAATGTATTGCAGGAATGTTCTAGGTTTGCACCACTCGGTGCTTGATGAGCACCCTCCTTCAAAATAGCACCCTCATAAGAGAAACCTAAACACGGCCTTTTGTGTGCACAGCTTGAAAGGGTTATCCAGGTGCAACGTGAATCCCAACAATTGTTTGGTAGAACACGGCCAGGATTTTAGAGCTTTTTGCACTGGAATCATATTTTTTAAATACGGGGATCATTGAAGTGGAATCAGATACAGTGAGGGAAAAAAGTATTTGATCCCCTGCTGATTTTGTACGTTTGCCCACTGACGAAGAAATGATCAGTCTATAATATTAATGGTAGGTTTATTTGAACAGTGAGAGACAGAATAACAACAAAAAATCCAGAAAAACGCATGTCAAAAATGTTATAAATTGATTTGCATTTTAATGAGGGAAATAAGTATTTGACCCCTCTGTAAAACATGACTTAGTACTTGGTGGCAAAACCCTTGTTGGCAATCAGAGAGGTCAGACGTTTTTTGTAGTTGGCCACCAGGTTTGCACACAGCTCAGGAGGGATTTTGTCCCACTCCTCTTTGCAGATCTTCTCCAAGTCATTAAGGTTTCGAGGCTGACGTTTGGCAACTCGAACCTTTAGCTCCCTCCACAGATTTTCTATGGGATTAAGGTCTGGAGACTGGCTAGGTCACTCCAGGATCTTAATGTGCTTCTTCTTGAGCCACTCCTTTGTTGCCTTGGCCGTGTGTTTTGGGTCATTGTCATGCTGGAATACCCATCCCCGACCCATATTCAATGCCCTGGCTGAGGGAAGGAGGTTCTCACCCAAGATTTGACGGTACGTGGCCCCGTCCATCGTCCCTTTGATGCGGTGAAGTTGTCCTGTCCCCTTAGCAGAAAAACACCCCCAAAGGATAATGTTTCCACCTCCATGTTTGACGGTGGGGATGGTGTTCTTGGGGTCATAGGCAGCATTCCTCCTCCGAACACGGCGAGTTGAGTTGATGCCAAAGAGCTCCATTTTGGTCTCATCTGACCACAACACTTTCACCCAGTTGTCCTCTGAATCATTCAGGTGTTCATTGTCAAACTTCAGACGGACATTTATATGTGCTTTCTTGAGCAGGGGGACCTTGCGGGCGCAGCAGGATTTCAGTCCTTCACGGCGTAGTGTGTTACCAATTGTTTTCTTGGTGACTATGGTCCCAGCTGCCTTGAGATTATTGACAAGATCCTCCCGTGTAGTTCTGGGCTGATTCCTCACCGTTTTCATGATCATTGCAACTCCACGAGGTGAGATCTTGCATGGAGCCCCAGGCCGAGGGAGATTGACAGTTCTTTTGTGTTTCTTCCATTTGCGAATAATCGCACCAACTGTTATCACCTTCTCACCAAGCTGCTTGGCAATGGTCTTGTAGCCCATTCCAGCCTTGTGTAGGTCTACAATCTTGTCCCTGACATCCTTGGAGAGCTCTTTGGTCTTGGCCGTGGTGGAGAGTTTGGAATCTGATTGATTCTGTGGACAGGTATCTTTTATACAGGTAACAAGCTGAGATTAGGAGCACTCCCTTTAAGAGTGTGCTCCTAATCTCAGCTCGTTACCTGGGAGCCAGAAATATTTCTGATTGAGAGGGGGTCAAATACTTATTTCCCTCATTAAAATGCAAATCAATTTATAACATTTTTGACATGCGTTTTTCTGGATGTTTTTGTTGTTATTCTGTCTCTCACTGGTCAAATAAACTTACCATTAAAATTATAGACTGATAATTTCTTTGTCAGTCGGCAAACGTACAAAATCAGCAGGGAATCAAATAGTTTGTTCCCTCACTGTATCGGCAGGCTTGCTCCAATCGCCGTCTGAACATGGAGACATTATGGATGTGAGAGATTATGAATGGGGAAAGATAATAGAAAGAGATAAGGGATTGGGAGAGATAAGGAGAATCTGAAGTGAAGCCTGGACAGTGCCACGTGAAGCACTCCCCTTGACCGCCTCTCTGCACGGCTCCACAAAGTGAACGCGCTGCCGCTGTTACACACGCACGTGTGATGCACACCGCTTCTTTCCAACGCAATTTCAGGTGAACCTTTAAATGGGCAATGTGTTGCTTCGGTTGCTCATTATAAACAGCTGGATGCTTATTATTCTGAAATTTACAATGCAATCAACGCCATACGTTCTAACCACACAGATATATACACAAAAATGTATTGGCCTTTATAGGTTACGTAAAAACACCATCAGCAGTTCCTGAAGAACTGCAATGTGGTCACCATCAAAATGGTGACCACAAATGTGTAAATGTAAAAAACTAAAACGAAACTTTCGATTTAAAGCTTTCGTGACTGCAAGGATTCATCTTCTTTGGTTCTTTCGGTAAAGTCAAGCAGAATGAGAATAAAATAATAAATTGATCAAATAAAATAACGCAATAATATTCTCACGACGTTTCGGCCACAACACAAGCGGCCTTCATCAGGTGAAGGGACGAGACTGTCTGGAGGACAGCGCTGGAGCGAAAAAGCCACGCTCAGATCGCGACCTTTAAGCTGTGTGAGAAGAAACAAAGCGCCTTGACAAAGGAATTAGCATAGAATTTAGCATTGAAATGGCTGAGTGATTAGCTTGTGACTGGTCGCAAAAATGGCTATGTTAAAGTTAAAGCATACACATCCGCAGAGGCACCCCTTGACAAAGGAATTAGCATAGAATTTAGCATTGAAATAGCTAAGTTAAAGCATACACATCCGCAGAGGCACCCCTTGACAAAGGAATTAGCATAGAATTTAGCATTGAAATAGCTGAGTGATTAGCTTGTAACTGGTCACAGAAATAGCTATGTTAAAGTCAGAGCATACACATTACAGAGGCACCTAGTACAAATCAAACGGGAGAATTTAGCATTGAAATAACTAGGCGAATTTAGCATTGAAATAACTGAGTGATTAGCTTGTGACTGGTCACAGAAATGGCTATGTTGAAGTCAAGGCCTACACATCTGAGCTATTCACAGTAACTGGGTATACACTACAATATATAATGAATACTATATAGTGAACCAATAAAAAACTAAAATATAAATTACCTCAATGTTATCAATAAACTCTATATATTCTCCAATCAGCTAAGCTACCAATAATAAGTCGTTATATATCACAATGCTCTATGGCGAAAAAATGGGTGGATTCTTACCCTCAACTTTAGTAACACGGATCGCTACGGGCCCCGTTCAGACGGGCGAGTTCATCCATGGTCGGAACAGAGGAGGGGGAGAGAGACAGTTGCGAGGTGCTGTTATACTCCATGTTGTAAACCATACCATTAATCATGGTGTGAGAGGTATTAAGAGTCAATGCCAGTGAAAAAGCTGCGGTCTGAAGGTCATCGTAAAATACTATTAATTAAGAATGGAAATGGTTTAAAACATCTTTCCGATGGTTACTAAGCCAGAATCCATCTTCTCGGTTGAAATTGTCTCTGTGCTTGTATATATGAATGGCCTCATGAACGAATCTCTCATGGTAGTCGGTTGGTTTGCAAAGAACCTCCGTCTTGGAGAAGTCAATGTCATGTGAGCCCACTGAATTATAACAGTGATCTGCTACGGCAGAGGAGTTCGTTCTACCATGTTTCAAGTCTGCTTTATGTTCGCGGATGCGGTCCGAGATATGTCGTTTGGTTTCTCCAATGTAGCTACTACCACAGAGGCACTTTAGTTTGTAAACGCCCGGGTACTGTATGTCTGGAACAGCATCTTTTACAGATGGAACTAGATCACGGATTTTATGTACTGTGTTGAATCGGACCTGGATCTTGTGTTTATTCAGGATTTTGGAGATCTTTTTACTGACCCCTGCAATGTAGGGTAAGGTGATGGTTTTGAGTGGCTCCACAAGAGGATCCTTTTTCATGACTGGAGTGATGGCTTTGCGGATTGTGCAGTCGGAGTAACCATTAGCCCTGAGAGCCTGGTGTACGTGCTTGAGTTCACTGGTAATGTGTTCCTGGTCGGAAATGCATTGGGCTCTATGGTATAGAGTCTTGATGAGGGAGTTCTTCTGGGATGGATGGTGGTGGGAATCCGGTTTCAAGTAAGCATCTGTATGGGTAGCTTTCCTGTAGACAGAGTGGCTCTACAGGAAAGTTACCCATACAGATGCTTACTTGAAAGCTGGAGTGAAAAAGCCACGCTCTTGTGGAGCCACTCAAAACCATCACCTTACCCTACATTGCAGGGGTCACTAAAAAGATCTCCAAAATCCTGAATAAACACAAGATCCAGGTCCGATTCAACACAGTACATAAAATCCGTGATCTAGTTCCATCTGTAAAATATGCTGTTCCAGAAATATAGTACCCGGGCATTTACAAACTAAAGTGCCTCTGTGGTAGTAGCTACATTGGAGAAACCAAACGACATATCTCGGACCGCATCCGCGAACATAAAGCAGACTTGAAACACGGTAGAACGAACTCCTCTGCCGTAGCAGATCACTGTTATAATTCAGTGGGCTCACATGACATTGACTTCTCCAAGACGGAGGTTCTTTGCAAACCAACCGGCTACCATGAGAGATTCGTTCATGAGGCCATTCACATATACAAGCACAGAGACAATTTCAACCGAGAAGATGGATTCTGGCTTAGTAACCATTGGAAAGATGTTTTAAACCATTTCCATTCTTAATTAATTCTATTTTACGATGACCTTTAGACCGCAGCTCTTTCGCTGGCATTGACTCTTAATACCTCTCACACCACGATTAATGGTATGGTTTACAACATGGAGTATAACAGCGCCTCGCAGCTGTCTCTCTTCCGACCATGGATGAACTCGTCCGTCTGAACAGGGCCTGTAGCTATCCGTGTTGCTAAAGTTGAGGGTAAGAATCCACCCATTTTTTCGCCATATAGCATTGTGATATATAATGACTTATTGTTGGTAGCTTAGCTGATTGGAGAATATATAGAGTTTATTGATAGCATTGAGGTGATTTATATTTTAGTTTTTTTATTGGTTCACTATATAGTATTCATTATATATTGTAGTGTATACCCAGTTACTGTGAATAGCTCAGATGTGTAGGCCTTGACTTCAACATAGCCATTTCTGTGACCAGTCACAAGCTAATCACTCAGTTATTTCAATGCTAAATTCGCCTAGTTATTTCAATGCTAAATTATTCTGTTTGATTTGTACTAGGTGCCTCTGTAATGTATATGCTCTGACTTTAACATAGCTATTTCTGTGACCAGTTACAAGCTAATCACTCAGCTATTTCAATGCTAAATTCTATGCTAATTTCTTTGTCCAGGGGTGCCTCTACGGATGTGTATGCTTTAACTTTAACACAGCCATTTTTGTGACCAGTCACAAGCTAAGCACTCAGCCATTTCAATGCTAAATTCTATGCTAATTCCTTTGTCAAGGCGCTTTGTTTCTTCTAACACAGCTTAAAGGTTGCGATCTGAGCTTGGATTTTTCACTCCAACGCTGTCCTCCAGACAGTCTCGTCCCTTCACCTGATGAAGGCCGCTTGTGTTGTGGCAGAAACGTCGTGAGAATATTATTGTGTTATTTTATTTTATCAATTTATTATTTTATTCTCATTCTACGTGACTTTACCGAAAGAACCAAAGAAGATAAAACGAAACTTTTTATTTTACCAGGTAAGGCCCACTGAGCTACAGAGCTCTTTTTCAGAAGCGACCTGGTCACATTTGAGAGCTCAACGAAGCGGCTTGTCACGTGCAAATGGATACCAGCCAAAAGGCATATTTTCTAAATGGGGAGGGAAAAATCGGAGGACCTAGTAAAAAATCCTCACGACCACACAGAGAACATGCAAACTCCAAATATACAGGCGTCGGGGATGGGATTGAACCCACGACCTCCTGTATACCAGGCGAGGCAGTTAACATCTCACCACTGTAGCGACTGACATTAGCAGTGAGACAGAGACAACTGCAGACCAGTTTCATTCTTCTTAGGAGTCATGAGTACAGTGTCCAATGTTGTTCAGGAACAGCTGATATTTTTGCATGATGCATGTTTCTATGGCTTGTGAAAATTGCGGTTGTCGGGCCTACACTACATTTCTGTTGTGATGATTTAATCAAAGACAAATTGCAAAACACACAGATCCAGTATTTAGCTCACAGTAGTTTATAAAACCGAGTCTTGAGTGCAATAAAATACCCAAATACACCCCTCAACGTCTGTGGCCCAGGGCAGGTCCATGGCTCCAGTTGTCTCTTTCAGATGCCACTGCCCCTAGTCACCTGACAGCAGCACACGCTCTACTCGGCTTCTTGAGCCATACCGAGGGAAGGAAGGTTGAGGTGGCTTCCTGTGGCCTTCCTCAACTCTCTTGAATTCGGTGACACTTGACACCCTGAATGTACCCGATTTTTATTTTATGTAATGGTTTTATGTTTTTAATCTTCAACGTTTTTTTTTCAATTTCAGATTTAGGATGTAAGGGTGATGACAAGAATGTGAAGCTGCCTTCCAGTATGCAAGACTGGAATGAAGACCACGTTCGCCACTGGTTGGTTCACGAAGTTAAATTGAAAGAGCAACATGCCAACAAATTACACGAGGAAGAGTTAACAGGGCCTTCTTTAGTAAAGCTGCAGCGTGAACAACTCAAGGAGTTTGGTCTCAAGTCGCTACAAATATCCTTACTCATAGACTCGCGTGACGAATACCTGAAGTCCCAGCCCAAGTCGTCCAGCACCCATAGCCACATAGCGACAACACCTGCACGCGGTGATGAAGCCTCGGAGAAGACTCAGAGCCACCGTGAAACAAAGGGGGTACAACTCTCTCCTGGCAGCACACAAGCCGAATTCTCAAACTCTGAAGAAAAACCTCCGAAGAAAAACAAGAAAAGAAATAAAAAGGTCACAGGACAACAGCAAGGGAAGTGTGCGGATCAGAAGCAGGCAGAGCCAGGTGATGTGGTTGATGTTGATGCCACGAACATATCACAGCAGGTACATGAAGAAGCTTCACAACCACCTGCAGAAGTGGGGACACAGGAGCATTCCGCTGTTGATGATTCAAGCCAACAAAACACCAGCAAGAGTCAGGTGAATATTTGCTCACCGTGCCCATTTGATCACCATTACACATCACACAGATATATCAGAGGAAGTGTGCTGCCTAGTGAAACGGGAATTACAAACTATATAGATCCGGTTCACGAGTTTAAGCTTTTTGCCTGTGAGGGCGACGTTGATGAAGAATCCAAGATGAAAAAATTCTGTAATGAGGTGTTCAGGTTCTCTGCTGGGTGCATGAACAGGAGGACAAACGGCACCATACACTTTGGTGTGGGAGACACGAAGAGCGGGTACAGGCATGGTGAAGTTACTGGTGTCCATGTAGAAGACCAGAGCAAGTTTGTTGATACGATCGACAACAACATCTCAAAGTACTTCCAGAAAGACAGGATCGAAGATGCTAAAGAATGCATACGACCTCCAAGATTTGTGGAGGTCATTTCACCTGAACATACAAGTCTTGGTGTGTATGTAATAGAAGTGGATGTTATCCCTAAGAGCACAATATGCAAAGACAATGTTTATGAAATAAAGCAAATGAAGCACGTCAATGGAAAATGGCAAACGGATAAAGAGAACCACGTGTATAAGCGAGACGGTGCATCTTCTAAGGATATTCTGGCAACACAAAATTCGGAACAGTGGAAAGAAGAGTACAGACGCGTTTGTGAAGATGTGAAAAAGTGGAATGAGCAGAGAAAATTGGCCGAAACGAGCTACAAAATCGATCGTAGAATGGATGATGAAGGAAAGAAGCTAACTACATTAATTACCGGGGGGAAAGGGACACTTGATGATTCCTATTACAAAAAGTACATATTGGTGGTAAACAAGGCGGATAAAAGCCAATTGCCCCACCTTGACTTTGTAAAAGAAATTAATTGGTTTGCTGTTCTTGACTTTGATCCTGAATCCGCCATTTCTGGGCTGTGTAGCCTTGTCCGTGCTGAAAGGTCACCCAACCTGCATTTTCCCCGACAGTTTGTAGAACGTGAAAATTATGACATTGAGATCATTGCCAAGAATCTAAACCTACACAAGCAAACCAGCTGGATCTTCTGCAATGGAAGAGCAAACATTGATGAGGAAAAGCCAATGGAATCCAAAGAGTTTCAGAAAAAACGCAGTGATAACCATAGCAAACTTGTAAGCTTGTTGTGCAACAACGACCTCATGCCCAGTGGAAGGTTTCTTGTTGTTTTTCTTCTACTTATGAACATTGATGACCCCATTGATCCAATGATGGAAACATTTTTCTATTTTTATCAAAAACTAAACGGGCTTTCTGATATGATGCTCATAACAGAACGTCTAGAATCATATGAAAGTTGGGCAACACTTGCACACACGAGGGTGGACGAAGATGAATTGGCGTACAGGTCAATACGCAGTATGAGCTTGGATCATCTCAATTCCACAATTTGCAAGATTAAATCTGCGACTAAGAGTCGGAAACGGTTCCTGCGTACATCAGTTGGAGGGTCATGCTCTTTAACAGCAGTGCAGGAGGAACGAATGTCTTCACTGACGATTGTGTGTGAGAATGAGTGTGAAGATACAGGAATAGAGGCAGACGACACAGCGTTTGATGAATTGAGGCGAAGTATCGAGGAAAACTACTACAAAGGAGGAAAAGTCTGCCCATGGAACTTCTATTTCTCCGAGAAACGGGGAAAACCTTTCATCAAACGTGAACCATTTAACAATCTAAAGGATAATATTGAAGATGCACTGAAGTCAAACCGATGCCTTGAATCTGTGAACTTGTTTCACCATCCTGGCTGTGGAGGAACAACACTTGCATGGCATGTCCTATGGGAGCTCAGAAAAAAATTCAGGTGTGCTGTGATCAAAAGTAACAGTGATGACCAGAAGGAAATTTCGGTTCAAGTTAAAGAACTACTGAAGTATGCAGAAAACGATGCTAAGGTCTACACCCCAGTGCTACTGCTGGCTGACGACATTGACGACACAGAGATCCTTAAACAACTTCAACACAGCATAATTTCTGAGCTGTCAGACGTCATATTTGACAGACCTCTTGTTGTCATGGTAAACTGCATGCGGTCTCAAGCCCTTGAGGAAAGCCAGAAAAACCATTTAATGACCAGTGTCATTTTGGAACAAAAGCTCTCTTCCACTGAGCAACACCTGTTTGAAGAAAAGCTTAAAGAAATAGAAAATGAGTATGAGAAATGCAACAACTTCCTTTCTTTCATGATAATTAAAGAAAATTTTGATTCAAATTATATAAAAAACACCGTGAAAAACATGCTCAAAGGTTTAGACTACAGTAGCAATAGGCCCAATGCTAAATTGATCAGTTACGTTGCATTGTTGAACAACTATGTAAAAAACACATCCATTCCAGTGTCTAGATGTGAAGCAATCCTCGGAATTTCCCAAGTAAAATCCACCTTTTGGAGGAAAGAAACTCTTGAAGATGGCTTGAGTCAGCACGCCAAATTACTGCTCATTAAATGCCCCATGGACGAAGTGAATGGCACTTATGAATCAGTCCGAATGATACATCCACTCGTGGCGAAACAAGTGCTGGAAGAATTTGAAACAACGAATCGCTCTTCAAGATTTAGCATTGCTAAAGAACTGCTTGCTGAAGATATCCTTTTTAATAATGGCATGGGAAGAGAGCACTTGGTTAAAAATGTCAGGAATATGTTTGTCATCCGCCATCGCAAAGAGCAGGGCGATGAAACAGACAGTCTCTTTGCACCTCTTATTGAAGACATCATTAAACATAAATACAGTACATTAAGCCACCCAAGTAAGTTGGAATCGGGCATGCAAAATGCTAAAGAATTGTTGCTTTGTGCTACAGATAGATTTTCAAAAGATGCGATATTGGCCCAGGCTCTTGCAAGGTATTGCTACCTTAAAGACAACAACTTTGATGAAGCCAAAAAATGGGCAGAGCATGCAAAGAAATTGGTCAAAAACAATTCTTACATTACAGACACAATTGGTCAGATTTATAAGCATGAACTGAAGCAGAAATTTGATGTCAGTGCCATCGAGAAAAAAGGGTTCCTTCCTCCATCAGATCTTAATAAAGCACTGCAGCTTGCAAAAAGTGCTTCTGATTTTTTTAGAGAAGCACAGGAGTTGGTTAAAACAGAGGATGATGCCTTTAACACAGCTGGATTCTTTGGCGACATTGAGGTTGCCACACATATGTTGCAACTGTTTGAGCTGACCAAAGTATTTCACAAAACTGGTGAAATCCACAAGAGAACCCTGGTGGCCTATTTAAATGGAAAGATGGACTTGTCACGGCTACCTACAGATGACGAAGAAGAAAAAGCAACAGTGGAGGTTTTACAAAACAATGAGTTATATCTTAGGGAATTAAAAAACAGAATGAAGTATTCCTTAGAAGTTTTGGAAGCCTATTTTTGGCTGTTTAAGCCAAGGTATGCCGAATCACAAATACAAGACAAGCATCGTTATACCGTCGAAAAGTTTTACAATCAATATTCAAAGATATTTTGTTCAGAGAAGTCAGAAAAACTGGATGCGAAACAATTCCCAAAAATAAGTGCTACGAATGAAATTGAGTCAAAACACGGTGATAGATTTCCAGGACTTATACGCTATCTTGCTGAACGAAATGCTGAAAAATCTCTGGAGGTTATTATCAGCAGCTATAAAAGTTTACTTCATAATTCTAAAAATATCAATAACATTAAGGAAAAGGAAAATTTTATTTTTGCTAACGTTATCCTAAATTGTGTAAATAACAAATCCAAAACGGTGTCCCCCTACAGTGAACTGGTGACGATGCTCAACAATATCCTCCGTGAAATAGGAACACAACACAGATTTCCAGAACCATACTTTCTGGCTTTACTTTTACTGTGGCTCAATGAAGAAAGCAAAAGAACTGACGTGAATCAGCTGGCAGAATACATTGAGGCAATGAAACGATCCTTCCGAGCAAAATATGTATACATGAGCCGCAGACAACAGTTAACAACCAATTTCTTTTTGGGGAAGGGAAATGGATTGGACAGAATAGTGTCTCGAACAAAAATTGACAAAACTGCAGACATGCAGAGAACTGGGAAATCCTTGCGTCTATTATGGCTCAGTGGAGATATTTTCAAGGAAAAAAAAGTTCAACAAATCCTTCTTAGAGTCCGGGGATCAACCACTGATGAAGGAGACATTTACCTTGACCATAGGTTCAGTGCTGGTAATGGTAAAAATAAGGCCATCAAGATTCCTGTGCACCCAGTAAACCTGGGACCACTGAGGACAGGCAAGAGCATCGAGTCTGTCACCTTTTTTGTAGGGTTCACTATGGAAGGCCCGATTGCCTATGACATTCAGCCTGTGTAGGATAAATAAAACTAAGGCGTGGGTCAAAAGGTGCTGTAGCCATGTAAATAAAACGTAAGGGACTGCATTGGCATTTATCTACTGCACATATCAAAACAGGACTATCTGTTTTGTAACCACTCTTCTACCACGAATTCCACTCTTCCACCACTAATTACTCAACAACTACTCCGCCAATATTGAGGGCTCAGTGTATCAGACTGTGTCATCTCGTCCAAGAGCTTTTAGACCATGATACTGCAGGTCAAAACGTCTCTGTCTGCTTCTTCCCTTTCACCGCTCGACCTTGGACTTCCGCCAATCGTCTCTTTTACAACCCAGCTCGATTCAAGCAATGCGACAATTCTCGACAGTGCTGTTTGTTTTGATCGCTTTGTTGTATATGTGCCTTTTGCAATATTTTTTTTAAATATGATATTGTCTACATCATGAGGCCTCCTTTGCCAGTACCAAAATGTACTAATAGGGTTTTCCCCTTTTTTATGGCAACAAAACTGACACCTTTTTGCAAGGAATCATGTTTACATTAACCACAATACTTGCAGTCAAAATGCAAACAAACAAAAATTTTGACTGCAAGTAGTGTGGTTAATGTTAACATGATTCCTTGCAACAGGAGTCAGTTTTGTTGCCAGAAAAAAGGGGAAAAACCTTATTAGTATGATATTGTCTATTTTGAATGTCATAGTTCTTTGTACACATATAGGTGGGTTGATTGCATTCCGAGAGTTGAGGGTAACCATGGAGGAGTACAAATGTAACATTAGAATGAGAAGTTGACAAGGAGGCTTTACTCAAAGGGCACCACAAAGCCAATGCAATACGAGTTGAGAAAGGCACCCGTAGCAGGGGAAAAAGAAGCACCCCTGCTGCGTGCCCCTGCCAAAAAGAACACTCACCATCCAAGCTGATAATTACGTACTAGCTTTGGCATTTTAAAGAGTCGCAATATTCAGAATGACAACCACCACATTAATATTATTAATACATCAAGGTATGAAACGTTACTCTATGAAACGTTAATCTTGATGATAGGATGTGCTGTTATATGATGATGCAGCTCAGGGGATAAAGGTTTCAATATGACTATTTTGCATATTCTTATTCACAATCACTGTTATCCGGACATAATTGCCATAAGGTCTGGATACGCATGTGAAACTTCAGGACAATAGACACATTTGTATATATTCTAATTGTCAATTCTCAACGACCAAAATGTATATGTAGTCAATGGTGTATAACCTGGGCCACGCCCAACCACCTTTGTCTTCCCATTGGCGATCTTTACATGCCATACCAGTCATTCATATTAATGCTGAGTCCAAGTAAGGGGGGAACCAGGACCAGTGTAGATAATCGCCACTGTATTTACTGAGGGGGAATCGAACTCGTTGAAGCAGCCTCAGTCGGAGAGGGAGGAGGGAGGCCATTTTTATTTCAACACGCTTTTATTTAACTCACTGTTGTTGTCGTATCCTCAAATCTTGTAACTCAATTTTAACCCACTTCCCAATGTGGTATCGACTACAAATTTCGTATGCTTATGTCTTACTGATGAAAATACTATATTATATCATAAAAAAATTAACATTTTTTTACACGCTTTCTATTAACTCACTCTGTTGTCGTATCCTCAAATGTAGTAACTCAATTTTAACCCACTTCCCAATGTGCTATCGACTGCAAACTTGGTATACTTATTTAATACTCATGACAATACTATATTCTATCATTAAAAATATATTTTTAAACCATATTTTTTATATGTTATGTTTCGGCTTGGGTCTAATTGTCCACGCTCAACTAACGTTGGCTTACGTTATGGCAAGCCTCGGGCCACTTCCCGGAGTCGTGGAGTTATGCCATTACTGGTACGGTACATTTAATTAAAGCATGTTTTTTAAAAAGTATTTTGAATTTACTTATTTTTACCCTGCAACATGGGCCACAGACACACATGCACACCATGTCTGGGGGCCAACTTTCACAAGTCAGTAAACACCACCAGGGGCAGCTAAGTACATCAGAGTTCACACCGTCTTGGGATGACCTCCAAAGGAGGTATGCCCCCTGACTCCAGGGTATCCAGAAAGCCAGAAAAAAAGGTGGGAGGAGCTTTGGGCTTTTTTTATAACTTAGGCAATTAATCAAATCAATTATACATTCCTAATCAAACGACACATCATACAAAGCAGTCCTGCAGAGACAGGCTCAGGGATTTGCCCTCGTGACTTGCAGTAGAGTTGAGTTCTTGCTAAGGCAGACTGTAAGTATCACTGAACATTTTATTTTCCGTTTTTCTTCATATTTTGAGTAACTTGTAGAGTAAAGGACTTTGAGAAGTTGTCCTGTATTAAGCTAAGAGGTGTGATAAGTTATGTAGTTCAGGAAAATTATTGATTGATAAGAGTTTCTGGTGGCAAGAGACCTGAAACTGCATTCTTCATGCTGTTGTTATTAAAAAGAAAAAAGGAATTTTCTAGATAATAATGTACTAAGCTAAGAGGTGTCAGGGAATTCTTGGCAAAACGCCCATGGTGGCGTGAAGCAACTTTCCCAAGTGGAGACTTGAGTAATCCACCAATATCGAGTGTACATGAAATATTGGCCTACTATAGGCTGGAAAAATGACGTGTGTTGTCAAGTCAACCTGACATTGTATGAGGTGGAGAGGCCGGAAGTGTGTGAGCGATTGCAACGTGCAGGCTGCTGCACAGCGTGAGATCTCTGAGGACGAGCAACCCAGGGGGTGCTCGCGAACCAAAGCCACTCCCAAGGCTGCTGACAGGCAACGTGCTGGGCCAGCGTGGCGGCAGCGCACTCCAGCTGCAGATCGAGCCTGGCGTGCAATCAGTGAGCGTGCATTGAGCAGCGTGGCCACGAGCGCACTCCAGCTGTGGACCCAGCCTGGCGTTCTCCACATCCTTGTGGGACTGGAGGTATTTTTGGGGAAGAAAGAAGACAAAAGATGGAAGAACATTAACTTCACACCATTTACCTGTGCCTTATACACGATTGCGGGCTAATAAGAACCCCAGCTTGCATGCATCACACACCCCAACAAACGAATTGTGCATTGTCGCGTTACCTTGAAACAGCCGGGTTTTCTTTAAATCACGTGATTGTGAGATCCGATCGTTGAAGTTTTCTAAGCATTTGATGCGCATTTATGAGCACGAATTCCGTACGACTATCGCCATGTTGAGGTGTTTGTCTATTGTTCTCTTTGAATCACGTGATCGTGAGATTTGACCATTGATGCTTTTATGATTATTCAGTACGGGTTGATGAGCACGTATATTTGCATGTGTACTGTTATTGGTATTCTGATAATGAGTGTTGTTGGATGTTAGGGTAAGTGCTATTAAAGTTGTTTAGATTGAGAACTGTATCCTGCGGTGAGACCTGAATCCTGAGACCTGCCATAATTACACAGAATTGATAAGCGAGAATTAGTAAATGTTAAAGCGAGAATCATTGTTATCGCGATTGATAATACATACCCCTAGACAACGTGAGAGTCAATAATTATAAGAACTCGTGGTAACTTTATGCATAATCGCTTCTTAACCATATACATGCTAATCATTGATTCAAATCGCAGTCATTATTCATTACACGTAACACACACATTGTTAATTACACTTAAACACGCATTTAATTACGTGTACGCCTAATTATATTAGAATTAGAGCAATTAACATATTCACATTCTACATAATTTCATATTTTAATAGTTTACATATTTTTTAAACAACACTATACACAACAGCTTGACGTCTTTGGTCTATGGGCATGCACTTAGCCAATGTGTTAAACGGATTCAACCAGGCTTGCGCACTTACATTAATCTGACTTCCAAAGGCAGTCGTGAGCATGCACCACTCTTGACGTGCACACCCAACAACACGCACAGCCACACACAGCAGCCAAGGCGCGCGGGGGACCCAGACACTACCACCACCAATCTCACCGTGAGATTGGTGGTGGTGGTGCGGCACTTGGCGCGTGGCCCCACGTGGGCGACCACGCGGAGATTCCTCTGCCCGCTGCGCTGACGCCTCCCCACGATCGTCCAGGCCCTACCCCACAACGTCCGTGCGGAAGCAGCGAACATTTCTGGGCGGCGTCGGCTTTGAATCTAAGACGCAAATCTCAGAGTGTCTGGGTACGAGCGGAACGTCGCGTGACCCAACCTGGTTGGTTCTCGCACCCTACGGGGATTGAGCAGCACCGTGCGCGTGTGTTTGGCGTTGTTAGATTTGTGGTAATGCCGAGACGTGGACCACGGGTTCAGAGGGCAAGACGGCTGCCGCTAGTAAACAACACTCAAACATAGCACTCACTCTACGTCTGTGTTGCACAGTTTTACATGATAACTTACTTAAAATAACGGTGGTGGCTGTAACTGCACTCACGTCCATGAGCTATGCTGTCTCTCGTTCTCTCATGATGTATTTCTGTCGTTTCTAATCGGTATATTTGTTTAAAAAAACATTACTCTTCAATAATTTTACTAAATTAGTTTGCTATTACACATTTGGTTACAACTGTTAATATTTTTTTTGGTTCTTTCGGTAAAGTCACGTAGGTATAAAACAAAATAAAATAAATCACGACATTTCGATCGCAACACAAGCAATCATCATCAGGTGGGAAAACCACAGCAAGAATTGTTTTGCTGAAGTGGGAGAGAGAGTTGCCGTGGTTAGAGGTTATAGAGGTAAGAGAGGAGGGATGGGGGCAAGGAAGGGGGTGGGGGCGTTGCGTGGACGCTAGGAGAGGGGGACGCGGAGCTAGGACGGGGGGAAGTGGGCGGGGCTGGAAGTGGGCGGGGCTGGAAGTGGGCGGGGCTGGAAGTGGGCGGGGCTGGAAGTGGGAGGCTGAGAGAGCTGGGGATGCGCGGGGGGGGCTACAACAGAGCAGCTGCAGTACCAATAAAGCAACAACACCAATGCAGCAGCAATTACAAACGCTAGGGATGCAATTAACTCGGCAAAATAGACTAGGGCCCGGTAAATATGATGGAACAACCATAAAGTATTTAAGGTTTTACCTAGTTAATAACATCCTTCCAATGATTGCTCAATTTGTATCCATCTTCTCGGTTGAAGTTATGTCTATGATTATATATCTGAATGGCTTCATGAACAAACCTTTGATAGTAGCCCGAAGGTTTGCAGAGCACCTTGGTCTCGGAAAAAAAACAATATCATACGAACCCACAGCATTATAATAATGGTCAGGTACCGCAGAGGTATTGGTTCTGTCGTGTTTCAGATCTGCCTTGTGTTCGTGAACATGGTCCAAAACATGACGTTTTGTTTCCCCAATGTAACAATCACCACAGGAGCAACTTAGTTTGTAGACTCCCGGATATTGCATGTCAGGAATGACATCCTTCACAAATGGGATTAGATCACCAATTTTGTGTACTG